AATAGGAATGATTATATATATATATAAAAGAGAAAGGACATTTTGTTGTCAGTACAGATATTTAAAAGTAAACTAATGAAATTTAACGTTTTCCTGTATAATTTCCAATGGAAATATGGCGTGCATAGAAAAATATTATTGTTTGTGCAGCAATGTCACGAAAGCATCATTATGCAAATGAAACTGCGTTATCAAAATTCAATAGCAAGGTTAGAAGGAAAGAAAGAAAGAAAAAAAATGAATGAACTACTTACATAAGAATCCTCTGTCAGTGATGAGTCCCAGTGTCAAGGATCCGATAAGGTCAGCTATGGATAAGACCATGAGGACATAGTGAACTTGACATTCAGGGATTCCAACGTCCTTCGCGAAATCTTCGATAATGGTTATCATGCACACCACCACGAACGTGTGGAGTGACATTGTGACGGCGATCAGCACGAACATGGGATCAGCATACAAGCGAGACCATCCGAATAGGCACCTGCCAGTGTCCTTTAAAAGGGAACGCGTCCTCTCCTTGGAGTACTCGGGTTCAATATCTGTTAACTTGTCATCGCCTTTCGACAAGCATTGAGTCTCGTCAGTTGCAACCTCGAAATGTTTGTTCTTTTCTTCCTTCGAAAAGAACGGTTCAATGTCGATACGGTGAGAAAAATGTTTGCGTTCTGACGAACATTCATCAGCATGAACAATTTTACTAAATTGTGGGTGAGCCGAGTTCGAGGGATGATTGTGTAAATTGGAATCATTTCTCGTTTCGGTAAACTTGTTCGCTCTCACTTTCACGCAGACGAGAGAAAGTTTTCGTATTTTGAACGAAACCAACTTGGCATCCTCGATAGGAAAATGGAACAATTGTTTATGAAATGAAAATCGTTTTTTAGTGATGGCAGTGGCAAGTGAAAACTTAATTCTCGTTATTTTTCGTTTGTATTTCGCTTTTTTCATTCGCGTTTGGAAATAATACCATATGCTCTTGTTACTGGAGCAGCGTGGGTATCGATTACAATCCAAAAAGTAGCTTTTACTTATTTGCTTGGTAGATGAGTTTTTGTAAGATATAAGCTCGCAGCAAGATTTGTTATTTATTGCTGAATCATCACGCATTAGAATATTTACAGGTCGAGGAGAAATGCAATAAATGGATGAATAATTTGAGATTATTTCAAATTTTTGCTTTTTTAGAGCGCGGAATAAACACTTCATTTTTCGCCATAGCTGAATATATAATTTATTTGTATTCTCTTTTCCAGGAATGCTGAAGGTTTTTTTGGTCGGTTCGCGAAGTAAAAAAGCCACTGCACAGCCATTTAGGAATGTTCCAGAAATGACGAGTAGAGCTCCAGAGATTCCATATTCGTTGAGAAGCGCCACAACCAAGGAGGGAAATACGAAGGAACCTATGTAGGATCCGGAATAGGAGATTCCAGAAGCAATACCTCTGTATCGACTGAAACTTTGATTGATGGCCAGGGGTAAAAGGCAAGTGGCTAATCCGAACCCTATTCCTGAAACATAAGTTGGACAAAAATTAATTTTCGCCTCATTATATATCCGTCATCTGTCATTTATTGAATTTATTTTAATGTACTATAACGTCTATTAGGGTGCAAAATCACAAAATATTTTTCGATACAAAACAAAGAAAGTATTCAGTTTTAAGTATCAGAGTCAAAATAATTATTTCTTCAGTAAAAACTATTTCTTGGAAAGCCCTAAATAAATGGGAATATATATTAAACATGAGAAGCTTAAAGTTTCACGAATTTAATGAATTTGAGATCAGTTTCAGAATGTATGATCATACAGAAAGGATATATATATATAAAAACTTTTGATATCTCATAGTTGAAGGTAAGCTAAACAAACTTCGAGATAATGGGTTTTTTGAGATAGCAAGTTCAGAATTAAATATGTTCGAACTAAAAAGTAGGAAAATATACTCTAAAAAGTAAAGTCATGAAACATAATAGCTACTAATAAATATTTATATAATAATAGCTTTATTTAAAGTTTATTTTTCAAAGTAAGACAAAAATAATTATGCATTAAATAAAAAAGAATAGTTTTACAATGCATTTACTTAGTGATTTTTCAAAAATAATTCACATTCTATTTCGAAAAAAATTCGACATAACAAGATTTTGAAAAGAATATATATATTTCTAAAGCATGAAAATGAACAAGGACGGAGATATCGTAGGATTTCCTCTCGTAATGGAAGCACCATCAAATACTGAATATGTTAGTCTCAAATTTCGCTTAGAGTTGGGAAGAGGGGGGGGGGAGGAGTAATTCAGGAACCCTCTTACATTACCAGGATTTTTTGGTGAAAACTTTTGTGAACTTTTCAGCCAATATCAGACAAAGTTATAACTTTTGCTATTTAAATGCATTTGGAGGAAGAGAGGCTTGGGATCTGAAAAATGTTTGATTAAATAAAATAATAATGAAATAAAGAACAGAAATGAAAAATTATTGTTTCCTAGGATTATTTTTTCCTTTTAAGTCGAATTTCCCTTCTTGCTGCTGCTGTTTTTGTCTTAAAATTTTTCTCCTGAGTTTTAACGGTGAAAGTATTCTCTTCTTTTACCCAATCAAAAGAATCATGATCATGACAAGGGGGGAGATTCAGGGGGTCAATCTACTTACCCTAGTCAGAATTTTTGATGGTTTTCCATTGATGAACCACCATAGTCTTGGTGGAAACCATCAATAATTCCATCATGGACAATTAATGGTAACCATCACCCCATTGTTAGAACTAGGACTGATTTATGAAGGTTTAACATAAAAAACGTATAAGTGTTTTGATGGTATATTCCTGCTGAACCCATAAGAATTTCCATTAAACCATTCCATAAATGTACCATTATGGACCATCACGAATTTCCATCATAGTATCTTAGTTGTTGTTGTTAATTTACGTCGCACTAGAGCTGCACAATGGGCTATTGGCGACGGTCTGGGAAACATCCCGGATGATGATCCGAAGACATGCCATCACAATTTTGATCCTCTGCGGAGAGGATGGCACCCCCGCTTCGGTAGCCCGACGACCTGCGCGCGAAGTCGAACACCTTACGGTAGCACAGTTTAACGAGGACCCATACCGCACACCCTCGGTCCCTACTGGTCACCCACCCGCACACTGACCGCAGCCAGCGATGCTTGACTTCGGTGATCTGGAGGGAAGCGTGTCTTAACGATCAGTCCACTGCGGGACCATAGTATCTTAGAAATTAAATATTGAAACTATTATAAACAACCATCATTCCAGTGTAGGGATTCGGACTAATTTATGATGGTCCAGCATTAAAAAAAAAACTAAATTTTTATATTCCTGAGAACCAACAAGAATTCTTATCATAGAAATGTATTGTTGGAACCATCATAAACCATCAGGGATTGTTGAAGCTAAACAAAATTTCTCTTGTTAGTTAACAATCATTGTATTAAACTAGCATTTTCCATTATGAAATGATGGAAGTTGTTGTATCAACAACCATGATTGCATGATGGATGATGATGACCATCCAATGATGTTGGAACATCATAAATCGCACTGAAACCAATGTAAATCATAAAATTTTTTTAACGGGACCATCAAGAATTCTGTAAGCAGGAAAGTTACCGATTTTCCTGCTGATATAAAATATTTTATTAAGAATGTAGAAGTTGTAATGAAGGTATCCAACTTACCGAATATTCCACCCCAACAAACAACCATCCAACGAATATCAGTGACAAATAAGCAGAGGGCAGCTCCAAGAGAAGAAAGACCACAGCCCATAGCAATTGTTGGGCGTAGACCAAAGCGTTGACCCATGTACCCAACAAAGAAACCTTAATAGAAGAGAAATAGTTCTTTTTTAAGTTGTTTTAGTTAAATATTATTTTGTAAGTAAATTATTGTTCATAAAATATATGTCAGAACAAAACGAAATAATCCGTCTCCATTAAAAATTATCGGTAACTGTTACAAATTAAACAAAATGAAGACAATGCATTTTTTTTCGAAGTTTTCAACCTACTGTTGTCCTATAACATGATTTTTTTAAAATATTTAGCTGAAAATTGATGGCAACGGTAATTATTCCCCAATTAGGAAATGTAATTTTTATTTTGTGATTTACATTTGCATAATACTCTCCTCCATCAAACAGGGATTCCACCAGATTGGCTGGTGTAGTCCAATTCAAAAGTCTCATCATGCTCCACAACTCGAGGTGTGAATGATTGCAAGTAACAATTATCGATTTAGTTGCCATTATAGGCAATCGAAAGTTGGGATTGCAATTATAATAATATTTACACCTACGTCTACCAATAGGAATGATATATGTTTAGAAGTAATTATGGATATATTTTATTATTTATAATAGCAATTTTAATGACAATTAAACGTGATGACCTCGGTTTCAGGGTTATTGATTACTGTCATCAAATATATTGCTCAACTTTTAATATGGACCCCAGAATAGCCCATTCCGTGGCGATTTCTTGAAATTTCGCCTAGTGACTGTTTGAAATATTGTCAAGCGATTTTTGAAGTCCCGCCAAACTAGGTTTCTGGAAAATATTTCGGGGAGATATGTTGTTTTTGAAACATAAATTGTTTTTTATTTTATTTTATTAAAAGTATTTTAATAAATTTCTAATAATTTAATAATAAAATGACAACGTTGATCCAAGTAATAATCGCCAACTTGGCGAGATTTCAAAAAGTAGCCAACGGGTGGACTATTCCAGGATTTTACCCAGTTCTTGTTTCAATGCTTGGTTTAGGAGGGTTTCTTTGTCTTCTGGGTCTGGTTAAAAATTACATAGATATAGAATAAGAATGTATTTAGTTCAATGACGGTAGAGGAAAAAAAAATTTTACCAGATAAATTTCTGACGGAAGTGCTGACACTGAAGGGTAGGGATGCACTGGCTCTGTTCGTCTGAAAAGCCTCCGAGACAGCTACCATCATCATACCAGACAATCTGGCCACTCCATAAAGAAGAAAATTGATGAAACAGCATGAGAATGCTACCACCCAGTTCTCTTTCACTTTCTTCTCTAAGTCCATTTAGCATTCACTGGATCTAAAAAAATATATAACAGTCAAAATGTAAAGATTTTAATAAAATAAATCCTCAGATTTTAAGATAGCTCTCACAAACGGTTTTAAAAGAGACGCCTTTTTATTATATTATAGTTGAATACCCGGTTTTCGCACTGCGTAAAAAATCGCAAGTAATGAATCATCGACTGTTAACAGTCAAGCACACATCAAGACAAATGTTGTTGTTGCTGTTGTCGTCGGCTGTGAAGGCAGAAAAGGGGCGATTGCTCTTGTTTTCCAGTGGCGCCATCTATGACCAAGAAGTCACACCCGTTTATAGGGCGGACCCATTCATACATCCAACCACAGATCGTAATTCTGACCTGAACCAGAAACAATCAATCTCCAATTCAGTACATTCAGAGGTATTATTTGTTATGGGAACATGGAGGACTTTGTGACCTTAAATGTTTAATGTGCACCAGTCACCGTTTACTGTACCGGGAGTCTTCGGCTGACTGGACTCTAACTCCCGTTCTCACGAACAGGAATCCAGCATTCTGCTAACCAGGCTATCCCGGCATACAATCAAGACATTTAAAGAACTTGAAACTTAACATAAATTTTCGCCCCTCCCGTTTAACTTTATGTCATTAAAATAAGCGAAGCACGTTTCTAAGAGCCCTGAAAGTGGTTTTACTGATTGCTGAAAATTCACCATAGTTCAGATAAGTGGTTCCCAATTTCATTTCGGCTATAAAACCCTAAATGATCAACATTTTTTTTTTTTTTTGCTGAAATCCCGACTTCATCAGCAATTGCGAACTTATTAATTATCAGGACTAGTAATGAGTTTGAAAATAATTAATACGAAATCCTAATTTTTTTCATCGTTTATCAATTTATTGCCTAAAAATTAGATTTTATGTCTAGAAGTAGAATTCGCAACTTTGCAGCGGCATTCAGGCTAACGTGTGAACACCTTTTGGAAAACCACAGGTTTAGATTCAGCGCAATCACGCAATTTTCCTCTAAACTCGCATAATAACTTGAGTACATCTTTTTTTAAAAAAAATTTTTTTTAATAATATCTGATTAGTTTGGTTTATAGAAACGTTTTTTAAAAGAGAACAGAATAAACGCGTAGTTTCAAATAGCTATATAAAAGGGGGTAGGTCACCCTAACTTGCAATATTATTTATGCTTACCTGACATTAAGAATCAACGAGACATAATTATTAAAGGACTCCCACGAAGACTCGTTTTTAATTTTGTTTCGAGAGGCATCTGTGATGATGTCGTTTAAATAATTGAAAAGGTCCGCCGTTTTAATGAGTCACCCTTCTTGTTCATGTCTTTCACACGGACGAGCATTTTATTTTTTTATTTTAAAACCGTCGTTGAACAGCCGACCCGATTTTGTGGGTTTACGATTACTTATGTTCAACGTCCTTTCCGATGCCTTCATGAAAGAAAAAAAACGATTGTTTGAAAGTTCTGATGGCATTCCTCCCCTTAAATAAAAACAGTCTCAATCGATCTGTTTGACATGCATGCAAATCTCTCTATTTTTGTTTTTTTTAAAGAAATGAGATATTTTTAAAGGATGGAGTGATTCGAGGCGGAATAAAATGTATGATTTGTACACTTTGTTAACCTGACAAATAAAATAACCTATAAGGAAAGAATAGTGCTGATTTATATTCATCCTTCCGATATGCACACTCGTAATATTTTTTATGCACATTTATCAAATAGGGGACCTATTTTTAAGAAAATTACTTTTCAAGGACAAAGAAATAAGATGAATTTTCAGTGCTGCTATTATTTCGTAACACATACACATTTTTAATTAATTATAGTTAGTAAAATGCTAAAATTATTATTTTTCAATATTTTTTAAAAATCTTCCTTTCTTTTCACCGTAGTAATAGGCCAACTCATTATATTCTATTTTATAACCGTCGTTAAACGGCCGACCCAATTTTTTTTTGGGACTACTAATGTTCAACTCCGACTACTAATGTTCAACTCCGACTACTAATGTTCAACTCTGTAGCTTTGTAATTTTGAACCCAATCCAGAAGACAAGAGAATTCCTGGATGAAGTATAGGGAGAAATTTGCCTTTCTGGATGACTTTATTTTTTCTAATGGCGGATACTGAACTTTTACGTTCTTTACCCGAGAAGTGGACACCTGTGAACCTAAGTCATGGAGGCGAGCAAAACTACTCACGCCATACTGCCACAGATACCTGTTCATAGAGTGGGCAACATTCACACATCACATACAGAGGTCAACGCATAGAGAAAAATATCAATGCCCAGAGCGGGATTCGAACCTGCAACCATTGGCTTAATTGAAGCCAATAGCTGCGGGTTCGAATCAGGCACGCTAACCGCTCACCCACCTGGCCGGCCCTTTCTGGAGGAATACTTTAATGGAACTAACCTGCATTTGCGTTGAATGGTGAGGAAAACCACGGAAATCTCCCACTGTGAGCCTGACGGTAAAGGGTCTCTTATTCATGATCCGTCTACCACTGAGGATATTTTATATCAGCACTGTGTAAGCCAGATGCGGAATGCGTATTGACCAGCCATCGCTGGGATTCGAACCCGATTCATCTGATTGGAGGGCGAGCGCTCTATCCCCTGAGTATTCACGGCTCCCGACTCATTATAAGAAAATATTGTTTGTTCAAGAATGAGAATTTCCTTTACATTTAAATGATTGTTGGAGTATGTAATGGTTTTTATAGGCCAAACGTCCTTCTTAACGCAGCAGGTATCATAGTCACTGCCTGCTTTATCATAAGGCCGGAGAGGCCCAGGTCTAGGGCCTCCATATTTCTAAAAGCCTCTTATTGTTACAAATATTTTTTTTTTCTTATTTTTTACTTAAGAATTGCACATTAGAATCATGAGTTAACAAAACTTTTAATAAATATAAGTTTAAATTAACTAATACATTATTTACCCATGTTATAAAAAAATTAAAGGCACTTCATACATAAACAAAAAGTGTATTTTTTAAAACTTATGATTAGGGGTCCCCCTGATAGTTCTGTGTCTAGGGCCCCCATATTTCTATATCAGGCCTTGATTGTAGTCGATTTCATTTTACGAGTTTTTAACTTGACTTATTTGTTTCTATTGTAAGGGTATTCTTGTGAAACATGACTTTGTAAAAATGTAAACGAGGTCCTAGAGGTTCCGAGAGTTAGGGCGTGTTTTCCTTTTTAACTTCTAATTAGTATATTGGCCAGTTGTATCATTTTTTAGCAGTATCGTTTCGTAAAACATGTGGCCACAAACGTTTAATCAACTGGGGAGATTTCCGTATCGTGATCTGTGGCAGAATAATCGCCGAGTCTTGACAACTTCCGGGCAGTGGCCCGCGAGAAACTAAAAAAGAGAAAAAAAAATTCAGAAAGGAACCAACTCAAAAGATATAACTCGTAGCCATCCCCGGGCAAACATCCACACGTTTCTAAAAAAAGAAAATAAATTGCAACTATAAAATCTATTTGGCACCTTGGCAATTGTAGTTGGCGCGACAGATCACGATACGGAAATATACCCAAGCAACTGTTGATATTAATGACGTAAGGCATTTCTTTTTGAATTATTTCCTAATATATGGTAAACATTACAAGTTTTATTTCTAAAATTAAGAAAAGTTTTAAGAGACAAGTGTGAAAAAAACTAATTTTCTCGATATTCTAAAATTTTTATAATTCCATGTTTATTAAAGATAAATTAAATAGCAATAGCACATGAGAGGCATTTTTGCCAAATAAAAAATGGTGAAAGAATGACAATCAACATTTTAATCGCCAGTGGCGATCATCAATTTTTCAATAGGTCTAAGCCTGTCTTTACTCTAAGGAGAACTAATATTCAAGTAACAGATATAATTTAAACACAAAATTAAATGAGCGAATTAATTGTTCGAAACTGTCTTATGTTCGTATTTATACCGTTAAGAAAATACATAAAGGCACTTACCTGGTTTGTAACATTTTCGAATAATCTGAATAGAACAATCACATCAATCATATTTAAAGAGGAAGAAGAAAACAAAAAAAGATCATCCCCGAATTGTCACAACTGGTCAATTAACCTTAAGTCCATCTTGACACAACTCTTGGCGCAAACCGTTAGCTGCACGAACAGAATATCATTTTGTTCGTTTTAATTTTGCGGTATATTCAGTAACCATCATCTGGAAAATTGTTCTTTGCGTATCAGGATGTTCGTTCATTGATTCCGAATCAAATAAGGGATCAAGGATAAACTGCACTACGTTTATATCCTGATATTCTTTTTACACTTCCCTTCTTACACTTTTGTAATTTTTTTTAATAAATGATCGAATTATTTAAATGTAAATTCAATTGTTCTTTTTTTGGACAATAAATCAAAATGAAGAAAAATTAAAAAAATATATTATTCAAGTTTTAAAAAAATAATTTTCAAACTTTTGAAAAAAATGATTTTTATTGCTATGCGTTCCGGAAAAAATTTATATATATATATATATATATATATATATATATATATATATATATATATATATATATATATATATATATATATATATATATATATATATATATATATATATATATATATATATATATATATATATATATATATATATATATATATATATATATATATATATATATATATATATATATATATATATATATATATATATATATATATATATATATATATATATATATATATATATATATATATATATATATATATATATATATATATATATATATATATATATATATATATATATATATATATATATATATATATATATATATATATATATATATATATATATATATATATATATATATATATATATATATATATATATATATATATATATATATATATATATATATATATATATATATATATATATATATATATATATATATATATATATATATATATATATATATATATATATATATATATANTAGATATATATATATATATATATATAC